CTGTATGTATGTGCTCTGAATAATAAAATGTAGTGAATGAGAGCAGAGTCATCCATGGGCATGAGCGCTGTCAGCGAAAAGGACATGCAATTCCGATTAATGCCCGCCGCCCCAACAAAGAACAACTGAGCTGCCCTCCGTCGGAGGGCATCTAGCAAGTGGGCGGTCCAACTGAGCGGGCGTTAGAACTAGAACTTTCAGCGGCTGTAGCTCGCTCCTCGCTCGCTGTGGAGTCGCGAGAGTGGGATAGTCTCTAGCTTGGGGGCTGTACTACTTGCACAAGGAAGGACGACCATGTACTACTTGAGCGCGGGGGCTGTCTTTAACATGCGCTCCGGGAGACGTGATGCGTTCCAACAGCGCGGACAAGGAAATGCCTAAAACTAATACCTGGTTTAGCAGGTTTAACCACGTTCAGACTTCGCGACGGCAGCGCTTCGGTCGCGCGTTCGACGCGATCGATGCAGTCGAAAGCATGCGCATCGATCGTCAAATCGCGCGACCGAAGCGCTGCCGTCGCGAAGTCTGAACGCTGCCTGTGGGATTGTGTCTTCGAATCAGCGTTCGAATACATATGAGAGGTTATACATTTCATCTTCAGTAGCCGCGGCGAGTTGGTATCTTTTCCTTGTGAGTCCGCACACGGAATTTTCACATGGCGCCTTCCTCAACTGTGAGCGCCGTGATAGCGCCCCAAGGTTCCACATGCCGACCTGGACGCCCAACGCAACCCCCCGCCCACAACTGGCCGCACAGCCGCATCGATGCTGATACTCTTACGACCTACAATTGATATGAAGCATTGTTACCTGGATATATGAATGCATACGTGCAAAAGTAACTATCGAAGAGGATGTTGACATGATGCCAACAGAAAACTCGTCCAAAAGTACTCGTCCGATGCCATGTAGAACGGAGGTTTTCTCTTGCAGATTTCTGGCTACTTGATTTCGTCATTTCTCCACTATATGGCACCCCTGCTACTATTTTTTCAGCAAGCACCAATCATCATGACTTATGCCTTTCACCTGAAAGTTGAACGCTCTCTGGAACATTTTCTTATTTTCGTGAGGCACTCTCACATTTGAACGAACGAATTCTCAAAAAGCATCTTTCAATTCTTTTAAAGCATATCAACATCAATCAATCAATAATTACAATGAGAAGCTAGCCGTGATTTGAAAATCGATGAAGATGCAATCAGAGTTCACCAAAGGGATCACAATTTTTGATAACAATATATAGCGTTTGAAAAGGAGTGCAGAAAAAAAAAGATGAGAATTTGTTAAGTGAACTGAGAAGAATGAGCTACTTGCAG